CCTCCTTGCCGTCCTGTAAGATGCACTAGCCGTAGTTGAAGGGCAGCTTGCACTTGATATAATATATGCATGCTGCCCTTTCTTTCGCAGCTGGAATGGCCAGTTGGAAGAACGTTCATGGTAGATTCCTGGTAGATATAATCGCTAGCAAGCCCCTATAGGAGCATTGTGGCAGCTGTTAGACAAACCTCGTGTCGCTTTTTCCCGTACTTAAGACGTTGGGCTCCCCCTCCGTTGCTTGCCTTGTGTCCGGAGGCATGAAGCTCTCGAGAGACGAGCTGAGATGAGATTCTGCAGAATCACGAAGAGGACGAGTTCACACCCCTTTCCGAGATTGCAAGCTGGTTAGGCTGACTGTTACCTGGATGCTGTCACCGTAGGCCAAAGCCGCACTTGTTTAGCAGCTTCTATCCTTTAGCGCAGTGTCACTGTGTCTTTAGTTGAATCCAAAGGAGCGATAGGACCCTGCAAGCTCACATTACTTTTCCTGGCTTCCTTACGAGTGTACTGCGAGGAAGTGCCAGACCCAAGCCGGGCCATCTGTTCTTGTGCACTTGTGTAATGAAAGGATGAGGAGACGTAGTATCCAGGGTTAAAACTCTAAAGCCCTGATGAAGGTACTTGAAGGTACTTACTTACAATAAGGTTTATAGCTACCCATGAACTTTCAAGCCTGCGACCCCAAATTGTCGTGTGTGTTTGAATATAATATAAGCAAAAGAACTTGCGCCCTTGGCTAGCACAGAGGCTTCATATAGACCAGGCCCAAACCATCCTTGTTACGCTATGAGGTCTGATTCCGAAAGTATAGCATGTAAGCAGTCCTGTCACAGATTGCCCGGCCAAATCAGCATCTGTTCTGCTGCCTCTTTTGAGATGCTAGCCGACCACCAGTTATCACGTGCCTAAACAACGCGGGATTATGGTATGTTCCGCATGTGTCCATCACCAGTACCAGCAAGATTGTCCTAGCTGCTCCAGGACTGTGCTAGGGGTCCTTCGCAAGTTGTACCAGCAGCCCGCAGCTTTTTACAAACAGCTCCCTGAAGCCTCAACCCTCAACCGTACCTACCGAAGTTCGGGATGAAGGAAATCGGCTATACATCTGTCCAGCTCCGAGTTGGTCCATTCATCGCACCTTAGTCTCTTACTTTGCGGTTGTTGTGAGGTTGTTCTGAGGCTATTATGATGGGTACTATAACTTAGTTCTCCAATACCCAACCTTTAAGCTTTTTGGGCTCTTATAGTTTAGTAGGAATCTGAAAGTTTAACCTTTTATTTCCTGGCTTATTGGCGAAGTAAGATAAGGGTATGAATACGGCTTTCTGTGAGTGTTCCGATTAGCGTTGATATCAGAGTACAATATTGAGGTTCTTATAAGTTTGCTACAACCTTACTATACAAAGGCCATCGCAAGACAGGCGGCAGGCAGTGAGCGTTGATCCGGCGCGTCCACGGCTGAGGCTGCTCACATGCTTGCACTCGTAGCACGAGTTTATGGGTCACCGTACTTAGTTATCATCATCGTATCTCTCACCTAGCTCTATTGTACCCTTGAACCCTCTTACATTCCATGAGCTCCAATACCCGAAGCAGCAAGGTTGCCCGGCCAAGCCTCATCAAAGCACTGCCAGCGTTTCACTTCGAATAGCGTGTTAAGGGTTCAGGATTTACAGGGTTTAGGGCAAACTGACCTGTTGTCGGGTTTTTGAGCTAGACGTACCCTATAGACTCAAAATTCTAAGGCCGCGGCCTCAAGCCTCGGAGACCCCAAACCCTACATCCTGTAAGCCCTAAGCCATTAAGCCTTTCACGGAAAAACCCTGAATCCTGCACCCTGCGCCAGTAAAGCCCCCACCCAAAAACCGACACCTTTTAGTCCTTAGTCTGTGCACTCCGAACCCCTAAACGTTAAACCCTGCCTTCCCAACAGTTCTCGCAGCCTTGGCCGCAGCCATTCCGGCGCCTGGCGCCGGAGTGGAGTGGTTCCACAGCCGAGGTGCCTGTGCGCCAGGGGGGATGGCGGTGGTCTAGTGCAGTATGGTATAGTATATAGTATGGTATAGTATAGAGCTAGAACAGATTTATTGTTCTCGTGTGTTAAGGTATCATAGTCTTATGTTAGACTGAATGACAGTACGGATCCGAATCTCACAGAAGAACCGGGTTTTAGCTAGCCAGGGACCCTCAACAAGGATTAGAAATGGTGGTTTCGGGCTTAGTTAGGGTCTAGAGTTCCTGATGGCATGAGACTTTGAAAGAAACTAGGGTTTTAGGAATCAGGAGAGAGTTTGAAGCTCCCTGTCACTCCCGCAGAAATGTCTCGGAAGTCAAGAGTTTCAGGAGCCGAATGGAAACCTAGAGCCCGTAGACGGTACTATAGCGTTTATGGCCCGTGCCCCATTAACTTCTGCGTGCCTCGGGTCGGGGGCGGGAGAATCCGTCCATGAACTGCACAAGGAGCTCTGCAGTCGCTTCGGTTTTCAGCGAGATTTGCCGCAAGCTCCATCCCCCTGACTTATTTTCCGAGCTGGCGTGGACCTGCAACCCCACGCATGTGCAGTACATGTCTTCAGAGTGACATACCTTTGCTGTCAAACGCTGCGCTGCACCTGGCTGTTCAGCGTTTCGCCGTTGGCTTCACATTCTACAAAATCCGCAAGGCAGCACCCTTTGATTGGTGCATGCGAAGCTCTTGCTTCATGATAGCAGCAGTTAAGCGTCACGACAGTTCCATGCAAAATTTGCTGGCCATCAAATTTGCTGTGGCGATGCATGAAGGCAGTGCCTCTGCCCCTCATAAACGAGTTCATGATTCAAGAGCTTCCATAGCGAATTGGGCACGTAGGCTTAGGACATCTTGGGACTCGCTTTAGCTTGGCCCAGAACCTCCAAAACCTTAAACTTTGAGCTCTACAACCCAAGCACCACACTCCTTGACTTGCTGTATTTTCCGAACCTCCTTTGAACTCATGAAGAAATCCTAATTGAGGGATCCTGAAAGGAGAGATCTTGGAGTCAAAAGTCCGTTTATGGTTATGCTGCAGCCTATATACCTAAGACCCAGTAGTCTTTCTACAGGCCCAGTTGCGCTGTAATACCCTGCCGGATTGTTAGGAGCATTGCACTAAACACACATCCCTACCTCAAATTCCTGTTTCGAGTATTGAAGCCCTAAACCATGTCGTTATGCTATCATCTACTGCCCCATAACGTTACTAAGCTCGCGGTCCCTAATCTCAAGACCCTAGAACCTGAAACCCTCGAAGACTCAAAGTAGCCAGCACAGTTTCCTCCATTCAAACCCTTATAGCAACCTGTATGGTAAACTTTTGTGCAACCGTTCTGTTTTCCTTGATTGAAACCCTAAGCCCTGAACCCTAAGTTGCAGGAACTCAGAACTCGAGGGGTTTCCTGCAGTGCAATGTCCTTTTGTCGAAAACCGCAGATATCTAAGCTTTGACTCGAGGTGGGTAGGGCGATAGGTTCGGAGTTTCGGCGTGAGAGGGCTTAAATACAGGTTCGAATTCTTTTGTTCGGTTTTGTCCTTACAGTCTGCACATCTCCCTGAAACCTACACTATTTAATATGGGGATGATGGACCACGGCACGCAAACACGAAGTATTGGAAGCCCCTACTTGCTCATCTACTTCATAGAACGGATGATGGGTTTAGGATTTAAGCTTTGATACGGTGGTTCAGTGAGAATCTTCTGAAAGCTGCAATCCGACTGCTTCAGTGACAGTCGGCGGGGTTATGTTGGCCTTCGATGTCGGCTTCTGATTGCCAGAGACCCCAAAACGACCCCTTCATCTGAGACATATGGAGTGCATAGCGGGGTTTACAAAGGGCTTTGTTGAGGGTTTCAATGCATCGGAATTAATTTAGCAACATGGGCAAAGATTCTTGTGGGACTTCTTATTCAAGGGCAATTCGTTAGTTAAGGGGCGTTTGCGCTCGGTGGCTTCTGACTCCTGGCCGGGTCTGCTGCAAAGCACAGCTGCGAACGAGCGGAGCAAAAAACTGCGGTCAGACAATATTGCTCTTCAGCGGCATTCAGGGGAGGCAGAATATAGAGATCAGAGTGGCCTGACAAGTCCGTGATGGCCATGTAGAGGAAGTCTGAATCCCCATACGGACGCGCCGCATGCGGCACTGAAGTCCGCGAAGAAGAATGATACACCAAGACCCTACTCTTTTTGATACAGGCAGGGATACCCTGTTTAGTTTGAGGAAGCTGGGTCAATATCGTAGAGGTCACGGCAGGGCCAGCATTTGTCGCCATAGTCCAAGCTTGCAAGCCTGATGCAAATGAGCAGAGGATATTGCGGTCTTCACCTGGACAAGGGCTGTTGTGAGAAGGCAGTCACCGGAGACTGCAGTCAGATGCGGTTATCGGAGTAGATTTTCGGGTTCTTGTCGATAGAACGATGTGGCTTCTATTCAGGGAGGAGTTTAAAACTAGCAAATCAAGCGGGGCCCTGGCTTAGAGAACCGCTAAGGTGGAATCTTGGCTGCTTCTCGGTACAACCTCGCTGTTCTGTTGGAATGCATGCTGTTTGCACTACATTACATAAGTACACTGCATGACACTATTTCACTACGTTAAATCAGTACGTTAAAAAGCACACTATATTCCACGCTATTACACGATATGAGACGGTGTGACATTATACTACATTACATTATTTTGCAGTATATGACTTCATGTGCCGTTAGATTCCGAGTTCTTTTCGACCACGAAGCTTAACGATATTCTGTGTACTCGTAGGATCAGTGTCAGCGTGCTTTCGATGTTCTTGGCTTGCAGTCGCAAACCGACACAGAGCCCTCAGCCGTCAAAGTTTTTGCTGCTGGCATTCCCCGACCAGCCTGCTTGGCTGCAGCAGCCGCACCACATCGCTGCAAGCCTGGGCTTGTCAGTTGTTGTTTCAGTAAGCTAGCAGGGTCAGTTGTAGTAGGTAAGTTAGCAGCGAGATATGGCCTGCTGAAAAGCGCCATGGACTGCTCGGAGCACAGGTCAAACCTTGCGCCGCAGTTGGATCCCCCGGTGGAGGTTGCTTCCTCACACAAACGAGCTTGCGATGCCCCGCAGAGCAAGAGTAAGGCTATGAGGCCCTGGAAGCGCCAGACTCCAATGAACTTGACAACGGATTTTTCTGAAGGTTGGCCCGGTTGGGCCTCTCCTGCAGCGTCCATAGCACCGGATCCTATGCAGCCGTCCTCATCGAAGCCGTCAGTTCAAGGAGCAGTTTGCCAGCAGGACCTGACATCGCGATCGCCCGCATCAACAGCTTCAAGGTTGGTCGTACAGCCAAGACCTGGGAATGGCCAGCAACAGCTGCAGCTACAGGAGAACATACCCAGCCCTGTCCTCGGCGAGCCAAGATCTCCCGCGTCAAGACCTGGGAGTGTGGTCATATCGCCAAGGCCTGGGACGACACAGCTATTGGAGAGCACCCCCAGTGGCCCTGTCCTCAGGCCACCAAGCTCGCCTATGTCGACAGCTTCGGCTGTGGTCATAACGCCAAGACCTGGGGCAAGACAGCCGCTGAATTTCACACCCAGCCCTGTTCACAGAACGCCGCGATCGCCTTGTCCTGCAAATGCGGTCAAAAGGCCAAGTCTCGGGTCAAAGCAGCCAATGGGGAGTGCACCCAACCCTATTCTCAGCCTACCAAGCTCGCCTGCGTCGACAGCTTCGAGTGTGGTCACACCCAGCCCTGTTCACAGATCACCGCGATCGCCTTGTCCTGCAGCCTCGAATGTGGTCAAAAGGCCAAGTACTGGGTCACGGCAGCCAGTGGGCAACACACCTAATCCTGTTCTCGGCCTGCCCATGTCAACAGCTTCGAGTGTGGTCAAAAAGAAGGGCTTCGAGTTCAAGGAGTATGAGAGCGAGTCTGAAATCGACTACAAGAGCGAGTTAAATCGCTTTTTGGCGTGGAGGCCTTAGCTACAAAGCTCTGGGCAAGCATGTGTGTTCTTGTCTAAAGCATTTTTTTTGTGGGTTTGCATGGCGTTGCGGGCTTGGGCTGGAGTTTGGAGTGAGTTGAAGGCCAGATCGAGATGGGACAGCTACACAGCTTCCAGTTTTCCACCTTGCCCTACACGCAATGCTTGCTACAAGTGCTGTCGATACGTAGGAAGAGCTGATTTAGAAGGCAGCCGAAGCTGGGAACGCGGTCCCAAAGCCAACAGCTCTGCACATGGCCACACGAAAGCAAACATGGTGCTGAGGCGAAAGTTTCACGTGCAGCCTGGTGAAGAGAAGCCTGCCGTCTACAACACAGTGCAACTGGACGAGGACCAGTGGCAGAGTACGCTGACTATCCCCCGCATGGAAGCCAGGGTGTACAGAGGAGAGATCAGCGCGAAAAAGAAGGCTGCAGAGATATCGGCTTCCAAAGCTTTCTTCGACGATGAGGCAAACCAGCCAATGATTGCCGAGCTGGAGCCATCCCACCATCGTTCGCTTCAACGCCGCAGATGTAAAATCAAAGCGGCGCAAGCGAAGGCAGCCGCCGAGGCTAGCGCCGCTGCCGAGGCCAACATGGCAAAGCCATTAGGCAGCCTGTAAGCACCTTCCAGCTAGCTGCAGTCGTTCCTCAGGCCGCGCAAAGGCGACGCTCAACCCGTGCTTGTCCATTTTGACATCAGGTATAAATGGCGAATATTACATGTTGAAGTGGCATGGTTGCGTTGTGTCATCTGATGCCATATGGTCTTATGTGGGATATAGGATGGAGCATGTGCTGGTCTACTAGAGTGTTTCGCAGTCTGGACTGTTGAGCAGAATTTCGTGCGTGCTTGAGTTGCAGGCCGGCGGCTAAAGTATTATCCAAGTCATAGGTGCAGTGTTCGTGCGTCGTGCAATTTATGGGCTGGTAAGCGGGTTATACTCAATCTTTGCCGATTGTCTCCCTGAAATGTAAAGCTTAACAGAGAAGGCCTTGTTCCGAACCGATATTGCCCTTATACTCGAGGCCGAAACAGTCAGCATTCGAGCCACACAGCAAAGAAGCTGAAAGAGTAATTGCTGCATGACTATATGCTTCAGCCTCGACACCTCGACATAACCCTTGAAGTGGGCCCCGGACTTGCCAAGGCTCCAGTCCTTTTGAGCACTCCTCGAAACAGCTGCCTGCGCACAGGGAATTGAAGGTTCTGCTAAACCACATGAGCAAGCACAGCATATGAGCAAGACCTTTGAAAATGGCTCGCTTGACAAGCTCCGGACCCCATGGCTTGACGCTTCGATGCTGTTTTGTGGCTCAAGGACCGGATTGTTTGACCTCTGGTTAGCTGACAGCGTTTCAGTGCCAGTGCAACTTGGCTCTTGGCATAGTGCAGGTTGTTGTGCCAAGAAGGTTCCCGTTCAGTGAAATGTTTTCGCAGGAGAAATCTCAGGCTACGGGTACACACGGGCAGTTGGTGGGTATGCGAACAGTCTTGTTCAGATGGCATGGGGGAGTCGCCAGTTCGTTCCGCTTCAAAACTGTTGCCACGACTACTACGGCCTCTTACGACGACCAGTCCTCCGGATATTAAAATACACTTAAGCGCAGCCCCAAGTTGTAATTCGTATGCTTTCGCAAACTGTGGTTACCGTGCCATATTATCCCATGGTTGAGTATATTAATTAACTTGCACAGTGCACTGTATTATTATTATTATTAGTATCATTAGATATGGTGGACATGGGCATTTGCTGAGTAGCTAGTACTAGTGTGCCCTTATTGTCCGAAGATAGTCATAGGCCCCTAGTAGTATACTCCCAAATCCTTCTGTCACTGTCACCCCCTGAACTGCGGCGGTTCAGAGGGCTTTCACGGGACTGCACGGGGCCTTGGTCGTCTTACTAAGGTGAGCACCAAATCCTCCAGGAACTCCACTATCAATAAAGGTCAACCCTAGACGTGACTGGATTCAGGGTTTAGGGTTTGGGGTTTAGGCAGCCCTCTCTCAGACGTCATCGTGGATTTGGGACCTCGGGCTAAGGGTTGCGGGGCAGCGTCTGCATTCAAGCAGGCGGTAACATGGTGCCTGGAGAATGGCGGACCAGGCTTCCCGCAACAGGCCGCTCGATTGCATTGCGTGCTTCAAGGTTTCGAGTGGACCATCTCAGCATGGGATTGTGTGTTCAAGATTGCGGCCCTAAACCCTCAACCCTCAACCCCAAATACCTCAACCCTAAACCCTAACAATTAGGAGGCTTCGAGGGCCTCAGGGCTCGAAACCTCGCAGTCCGGAAAACTTTTGCAATCCCGACACCCTGTAGCGGGGCCTGGCAGTGTTTGCCCGTTTTAGAGCTTGAAAACATCGCAATCCAGAGCAAGGAGCCCGGAATCCCGCCAAGACCCCAACCGACTGAAGCCTAACGGCCTAAACTCTACCCAAATCCCTGGACCCTAAGCCCCAACCCGAAACCCTAAACTCTGAACGCACACATCGAGAAGTGCACTCTAAGAAAGAAGCTCTGAACCCTAATCCCCAACACCTACCAAGGCCCCCCAAAAGCCCGGAGTGACCCTCCCAAGGGCGGCGGCGGCTTCGGGGGAGGCGGTGGCTTCAGTGGCCCGCAGAATTTTTGCGGACAGGGCTACGGCGGCCCACAGAACTTCGGTGGTCCCATGCAAGGTGGCTTCGGCTGCCCTGAAGATCCTAGTGACTCAGGAAGTAAGTAAGGAAGGTTACAAGTACGTACCTTAAATTCGGGTTATAAGTAATTGCAATGTTATAAGCGATTTTACATTTCCTTTTTTATAGCCCTGAGTTAATAAGTCCCATTACCCTTTACGTCGAGCCCGGGGCTCCATCATAGAGGGGCTTAAATTCCTTATTATCATTTACAATATTATTCCTTAGGGTTACCTGTCCTTGTTATACCTCAGAACACTATTCGAATCCATAAGGCTTTTACTCTTTGTAGACACATACTATGACCTTAAGGGGCTTCCATTTAGGTATGCAGGGGCGGGAACATGGTATTCTGAATGCAGGTTTGGGGGTTAAGGATTTAGGCTTGAGGTTTCGGCATCTTCTGGTTGAGGACCGTTGGGGTTTTGGGATCAGGGTTTGGTTGTGTAAGACTTTGACTTTACTGGATTCTTGTTAAGGGATTTAGTTTAAGATACCATAATGGGGACCGACCGTAAATACTGGGGGTTCTTGAGTATGGTTGCTCAAGTTAAATGAGTGGTTGTCAAAATCACTTCAATGCGAACCCAGCTTAGAGTGTCGGGTTGAGCTTCCTAGATAGCCGCCTCGACGACTGGGGTAATGTAGGAGCCTGAATGGTTAGGGTTTAGGGTTTAGGGTCCTTATCATAATTCTAGGTAAAATATAGCCGAAAGGCTATTCTACTGACAAAGGCCCCCAGGGTAATGTAATCCTCATAGAGGGCCCTTGTCATTATCTTCGGAGCAGGCGGCCCGACTCCCAAAGACTTCACAAAGCCTGATTAGCAACCGGGCGGCCCTGGCCTCATGAGCACGACCCGGCCAAGATGCCTCAGCACCGCAAGAAACGCAGACCTGAGAAACCCTACACCCTAAATTCTAAAGCCTAAACCCTAAACATTAAACTCTGAACCCTAAAGCCTACACTCTAAACCCAAAGCCCTAAACCCTAAACCCTAAAGCCAAACACAAAAGAGAGCCAAGGCCAGTACGGGCCCATGGGAGGGCAGAGCGATCCTGGCTTCTCGCCGGGGGGCAGGGTAGGTGGATTCGCTCAGCAAGGCCCACAGCCGGACTTTTCAGCCACAGGGGTGGGTTTGGGGTTTAGTGTTGATGATATAAATCCTGCATCACCCATGATACGGAGTATACTATAATTCCCATAGGTTAGGGTTCTTAAGGTCATGCAGGATGTATATCATGAACCGTAGGGAGGGTTTCGGGGCGTCGGGTTGAGGGATAAGGGGGTTTTGGCTTTCGGCACGTTGGGGATGTCGAGGGCTGAAAGGGTTTAGCATATACCTATTCAGTTTATTGATAGTCACAGCTTGAAAAGCTTTCGGTTGTTCCTCGTAGCTCCCTGGGATTCGGTTTTAGGGTGAAGGGTCTACCTTCACCCTACCATAACCTACTTCTCTTCCTGGTTCTTATCACAAACCCTAAGATAGCATTCATTGGGAGCCAGCAACGGAATAGGTTTTTGTACTTGTAGTTAAAGGTCGGGCTTATGCAGGCAGTCATGGGACAATCGAGAAGCGAATAACTTGTGACCCTGAACCCCAAAATCTAAACTCTAAACCTTAGAGCCCCCCAAAACCCTAAACCCCTCAACCCTAAACCGTCTAGAGACCGGGCCCGAATGTAGCGAAGGGCGATCCGCGGGCCCAGGAAAGGGCCAGGGTAGGATTAGTTTGGGGTTTGGGGTTCCAGGTTCAGGGTCAGCTTCGGGTTTGGTAAACGCATGTTTGTATACATCTTTCGAGTATTTGTGTGTTCAAGCACATGTATAGGTAATTGGAACTACGTCTGCATCTGTATGTTCATCTGTGCCTGCATGTGCACGTCCAGGTAAATGTGCATGTGTATGTACATGTACCATGCAGTTGTATGAGTGTCTGCGTATGTACATGCGCACATTTTCTTGCACATGCCTATGAAATAAGTTTTCTTCTACGTATGTGTATATGCAAGCATATAGGCAGAGGCCCAGGCGCCGGTACAGGTACATGTAGATAGACGAAGAATCTGCAGCCTTACCTTCAAATTCATCTAGATTGCATCTCGGAAAATTCAGTTTAGGTTGGGGAACTTAAACCCTGCAGCGCTGCGCAGCCCTGTTTTCGATCAAGTTGTGATTTCGTGGATCTAACTTCTCCCCGCATTTCCGCCACTGCCATGGCTTCTGACAAGGCCAGCGAGCTCAGAATCAAGTTTGGGTGTTTCGTATACCCTAATAAATACCCCTGAACAATGACCCCAAACCTTCTTGGGGTGCAGGGTACGACTTCGGCTATCAAGCGTGCTGGAGCGAAGCTCCATAGCAAGTCGCTACACTGGTTTCGCTTCAGGGATCTGCGGTCTGAGCATGGCCTTTGAAGAGTAAAGCCCACCTACAGTCTCCGTTATGATTCCGTGTTTGGTTTCGCCAACTTTATACCGAGGATCCTGTAAGGCAACCCCGACAAGGAACGACAATGGACACGAAAGGTAAACCCTGACCTGTAGGACTGGGTAGTGTGCACTACACCAAGGTCCCAGGCCATGCGCTGAGGCTTGATTTGCTTAACACCTTAGCATCGCCTTTGCAGTCTTTTTCCCTGATGGCGCTTTTTGAAGCGACTACGCTTGTGTATTGGGTTTCGATTCAGATTCAGGGATTTTTTGTTACAAAGCCCTGCAGCCCCAGTCCCTACACCCCCCAAAGCCCGAGTCCCCAAACAAGCCCTTGACCCCCAAGCCACAACCCTGGACCGCAAACCGTCAGCCAACACATGCAGTAGATCAGACACGGTTACATTTCTGCAACATTTCAGGTTCAGGGTCTATTTCAGTCCTAAACCCTGACCGATAAGCCCCACACCCCAGGTAGTAAAACGAAGTGCGATGGCGCCTTATCCAG